TCAGTTAAAGAAACATTGGAAACCTGAGAGCACTGGACAACTGTTTCGTCCTAGTATGAGACTTCTCAGCAGTGCGTACCCATAACTTCGCCCTCCAGGGATCCAACCCAAGACCTTCAGGTGCTGCGGCCAGCACATTACCATTCAGCCACTGGTTTGGAATCCAATGCTCTACATTTCCTACTTCTTTGCATGATTGATTCTCGAATATCTCTGCGACTGTAGCATGTTCTTTGATGTAACTATTGATAGTTTGTCCTTAGTGTTGTTCAGATAGTGAAAATGTCATCGATGTATTTCTTATATAGATGAGACTAGTTAATCAGTCGACGTAGTTTAATGTTCTGAAGACTAAACATAAAGCAGTTAGCTAAGAAGATCTAATGATGAAACCACTTCTACTCCATCTTTTTGTCGATAAAATTCATGATTAAATCTAAATTACACATCAAGAAGATATATAGTAAGCTTTGGATTTTCATTTTCAAAGTTGTTGATCTCAATTTAATCACATTAAAAAAGACTACAGATTTTTTCTATCAAACGGACATTTGTGAAGAGTGACACGTAATGTCCAAAGATTAGCATACGTTGACATCGCTAACTGGAGTCAACAATGTCGGATGAATCAAGCGCACCGTACTAATCGATTTGGTTTCTCACCGGCTGAAGAGTATCAATCCCAATCCTATGATGTGGCGAATTATTCATACTAACTAGTAGTCCCACAGGAGCATCCTACTTGTGAACTTTGACGATAATATATAGTAGTGAGTGACTGAACTAGATTTTGTCGTTTGTATTATCCTGTTGTTGAGTGAAGCGAGTTCAAATCCTAGTGGGAAGAATATTGCTCATTAGGAGGTAAATACGTCTAGCTGACGAGTCCCAAATAGGACGAAACACGCGTTCTGTATTCCACTGCTAAGCACCATCCATCATTAAAAATATAATTCAAATACAGGCAATATAAAGGCATCCATTCAAGAGCCCTTATAACAAAAGAGACCGATCAATTCGCTTCATACAACGAAGGAATAATACAATCAACAATATTAAAACTATACCCGTCGCACAAGAAGTGGCTGTCGTGACTCAGTGATCTAGTGAACAACGCTCTGACGTTTAAGTCCTAGTGAGAACAACATTGCTCACTTGGGGGAGGCAAGTGCATCCAACTTACGAGTCCCGAATGGGACGAAACAGGCGTCCTGCTAGCCACTACGCATCGTTAATATATGACTGAACTAGATTGTTTTATATGTTGAACAACGTGACACTGATTGATTCGCCTTTCATCTTCTTCAAAACCTTTGTTCTGTTTGTTCAGTTGTATCTTTTTGAATACCTTTTCTCGAGAATTTGTTTTCATCTGCTTCTTTGGGTGACATAGTGGAGAATATTTGTAGCTCAGGTGGATGGTCTTATTTGTATTATATTCTCTGAGCTGGGTTGTTTAATCGTGAAGCTTTCATCGTCCTTCTAGACGACATCATCAGCACTAATGTCAGTATGAAGTGGACTGTCAATATCTCTCCGTGAGTGATTTAGTAGCTTGCCTTGATGAAGTGGTCTGTGATTGGTTGTTTCCTTTGATTGTTGTGTCATTGACTGACTGCATAGATTTTCCTGTTGGCTGTCCTCTCTGCTCGACCTCTGACCTTCCTGTCATTTTTCTTATTGGTTGATAGATTGGGTCTATGTCTATACATCTGTTGATTGCTGATTGACGTGAATGCCATGCTCCTAGGAATTCTCACACATTCTTTGTGTTTACTTTCTCTGTCCAAAATTTCTACATTGTCGAAATCGAATTCATGTCCATAATTATCCACATGCATTGAAATGAGTGATGAAATGTCTTGGCGTTTAATAGCCAATTGGTGTTCATTTAGACGAAGGCGAAGATGGCGGCCACTTTGTCCAATATAGTGTCGACCACAGTCATTGCAGTTGATTTTGTTAATGATATTTGGTTTGTCCTTTGGTCTCCATAATAGTGTTTGCAGGGAATTTATCGGTTTATGAGCCACACCAATTCCAAGTGGTTTCAGTAATCTTGTCGTGATTTCTGATATATTTTTTATGTATGGTAAGATGATGCGTTTATTGATTTCTGTCTATGACTTTGTAGTTGATGATGTACGGGATAGTCATCTTCTGGTAAGATTTCGTAAGTAGCCGTTCTTCTTTAGGATAGACATCAAGTAGTTTTCTTTGTTTCTCCGTGAAGTTGTTGTACTGCAGTGTGTTCTCGCTCTTCTGAATAGAGTCTGCACGCAACTGATCTTGTGGGTTGTTGCTACTGTAGTTGAGGTCTTGATCAGTGTGTGTTGGCTTCCTGTACACTTGGGTTTCCAGCTTTCTGGCATTTGTTCTATTGACCAGAACATCCATGAATGGTAGTTGGTTATTTGACTCGTCCATTGTGAAATTGATGTCACTGAAAACGTTGTTGATCAAACTGTGAGTGTTTTCTATATCATCTTTTTAATGATGACAAAAGTGTCGTCCACATAGCGAATCCAGAATTTTGGCTTGATCACAGGTAGGATGATGGCTTCCAGTCTCTGCATCACTGCTTCTGCAATTAGTCCGGACATTGGTGATCCTGTTGGAGTTCCTTTCATCTGTCAACTAATAAGAAAGATGATAAACGACAGAAAGGTCAGAGGTCGAGCAGAGAGGACAGCCAACAGGAAAATCTATACAGTCAGTCAATGACGCAACAATCAAAGGTAACAACCAATCACAGACCACTTCATCAAGGCAAACTACTAAATCACTCACTTCATACTGAAGTTAGTGTTAATGATATCGTCTAGAAAGACGATGAAAGCTTCTTTGGTTGACAGTTTATCAGCGTAGTCTTTGTGATTTATAGATAACTATACCAGAACTCTTGTCGAGATTGATCAATGAAATAACTTTTTGTTCTTCAGAAGTTTATTGAGTTGAGAATTTATGTTCTTTCAATAATGCTATTCTAGTTACTTTCTCGATTGGGTTACATAATCATCTTGTAGTCTCTGGGAAAAATTTTTTGGATGACCTTGTAGTTTTTGATACAAATATTTTCTCGTTATATCTATAAATAAAAATGTATCACTTTTGAAAATGATTCTTAGGAAAGGTTTTATTCCTTGGAATTGTGTTTTTTTTTCCTAAAAAAACAAAACAAAAAAGGTTTTTCTGTAGAATTTTGATTCTTTTTCCACAAATTCTTCTCTCTGAATTAAGATAATTCACAAAGTTACTCAGCTGATCATCCTGATTTTCATTGGATTTTGCTTTGTCTTGTTAATTACTGGTGACTAGATTCCATTTTGATTACAATGTCCATGGAGATTGGTTATTTTTATTATATCACTTCTTGGGTATCTAATATGAAGTCATATTAAATGCTTGAATCTAAATCATATTGTTTTCAATTAGATCCTCTTCACGCTTAACTCTAATACAAATAGCTTAATATATAAGTAAAGAGTTAAACCAATCATATAGATTTGACCGTTGATGTGATAAATGTTACATATAACGGTGGAGATAATAATACAAATGATAATAATGAAGTTGGTAAAAGTGATAACGTTGACTAAAGCACATGGAATATAGATGATGATGATAAGGACCAAGATAGCAGAATGAAAATGTAGACACCCCAATAATCAAAATGGGTCAAAAGCTTGTGAAAATAAAAGTTACATAATAGTGAAGGGCGAAGTAAGTGGATAAACAAAGCCTAGACAAATACAGTAAGTATACGAAAGGGATGAAGAATAAGAAAAGGGAAAGGAATCATAATAATAATGATGAAAACTGAGTGATAAAGTTATTAACTAAGTAATCCCTGGCCAAGGGAGAGATAAGGGATGTATAAACTTCTTCTGAATACAAAGACTAGGATTATTAGCTCGAATTCCCACAGCTTCTGCCATATGTAAAAGACGAGTTTGAATACCTTTTGAAAGATGAGATGGTATGTGATGTATAATCGTGAAAGCAATGTTCTTATCTACCGAGGTGAGATAAAACTGAGCTTCTGATGGATTTTATCTGTCTGTTTCCCCCAGCCATGAAGGTAGATGCTCAGCAACACGTTTGTTAAATTGTCTAGTAGTACACTCTATATAGCTTTCTCCATAGGAGCAGCTAGACTTGTAAATACACATAGAAATGGTAAAACTAGATAACTTATCTTTTGTCTGAGCAGTAACAATTGGTCGACTGGAAAATGATAGACAAAGTTGTGTGGTGTAGAAGGTCGTTTTAATGGCTGTAGAGAGTCTCTGGTATAAAACTTCTCCAGCCACATCAACCGACAAATCTATATGATTGGTTTAACTTTTTACTTATATATTAAGCTATTTGTATTAGAGTAGAGCCTGAAGAGGATCTAATTGAAAACAATATTGTTCGCTTATATGTCTTGTTCTAATATACATGATGGGAATTTTTAAAACGAAATCATATCACTAGAAAAAACTAGGGATCAGTAATTGGAGATCATAAGAAAGATAACTCAAAAATCAATCACAGTAGGTTAGATCAAAGAGACACTTAGCAATGATCTAAAACATTATTCTCCACTACTTAGTTCATTTCTTAGTGAACTTAATTTTACAAGTGAATCGTTCAATTTTGTCATAATCTGTTTATGTCAGTACTCAGATGAAAGTTAAGAATGGATCAGGGTTATTACTTATCGTATCTGTTCCAGGTTTATTGTTCTCTATGAATGTCTCGTTCCAATTAAATCGACAATTGACATATGATAGGCAATTAGTTGCATAATCCTATTGGCTTAGACTAAAAACATGTGAACCAATCAGCGTACAGGTAGTCTGAATGTTTGTTTGACTAGTTATTCCATTGACTGGAGATACAATTCATATTTATGAATTAGTTCATGTGAAAAATTATGTAATAAACTACGAAAGTTTTATAGAAATTAAGTCTATTTTCTTATTTATTGATTTATTAATTCATTTGATTTCTAGACTTTGATTTGGGGAATGCCACATTGGATACAGCAAAAGTTTGCTTAGCTCAGATAGCAGCAGTAGCAGCTGCTGGATCCAATACTAACAATAATAATATTAATAATGGAAGTTATATGAACCATCAAAATATCCTTTCAAATAATCAACAATTACAGAAGGCTCATCAAATTCTACGTTCACTTAATGCTTCAAATACTCTAATATCTCCTCTCTTAGGTGGTAATACTTCAGATTTAGACGTTTCTCAAAATACTTCTACAACTACATCAACAACAGTATCGAGTAGTCCATTATTACCACCAGCTCCAATCAGTTATCGAGGAAGTATTACCACTGGGCAATCTGCTCAACAAATTCAACTTCAACAACAAGCTCATCAAAAACAACAACATAATATGCCAAAGTATATGACAACACAAATTGATTATAATTCAACACGTGGTTCTTCTGGTGTTCAAAATATTGAAAATCCTCATGTGAGTCTATTTTGTATGTATGTGTGTGTGTTTGTGTTTACCGGGATAGGATTTGTGACTCATTAGTTTAAGCAGCCAGTTTTCAACGATAGAGTCATGGCTTGGAACACCGCTCCACTTATTGAAGTAGCCATACTTGATAAAATCTGCATAATGATATACTTACTTTTTAGATATACAATGATGATTATCTGATCAATGTTAAGATAGATATATTACTAATGGCATAATTCTCTTGCCATACCCTGTTATCATTTAAATAGCCAATCAGCTATAAACAAATAACTATTTCACTGAAGTCTATCAACTTCTATATTATCAGTTGACATTGTTTCTTTTCAAGATGAAAGTGAGCACATTCGAGTATCATAATAACTGCATGATAGCTTAGTTATTAAGTTTAAATTTACTGACTAGTTGTTAACATTGACTGTCTCCTAGTCTCATCAACTAGTATTCATCATCATTAGATTTACCCTCACTCGGTATGATTTCTGATTCTAGTTAGTAGATAGACAAACAAACAAAATCAACGTAAAAGCTTGCACATAAGTGCATCGGTTCAAGTTCCCATACTTCACAGAAGTATCCTAAGACAGGTGGACAGAATAACAGTGATATCAAAGTAGACAAGATGCTATTGTGATCGATTTTTAGCCATATCAATAACAGTCCTCAATCATTGATTTCTTTCATCTTGGGGACTCCAACCAGGTAGTCTACATCGCCATACACGACTCATACCAATAGCAAATGGCGATAAATCTCCGTCTGGTCACGCTTAACCCTCTTCTGACCTAATCTTTAACTTCGGTATACGTAACACATTTCCAAGCCATTTCACTCGACTAAGGTTCACAACATCATCAATCGACTTGCCTGTCTTACCTAGTACCCTTCACCTGACCTCAACATTGCTCATATAGTGATCTCATCAAATACAAGCAATGCTACGAAGACACCTATGATGAAAATCGTGTAATCGCTTGATATCTTCTACTTTTAACGGCCATGTCTGACAGCCGTAGAGCAAGATAGAACAGACTACAGTGTGCAGTATACTCGCTTTTTGGTAGATATTCGGATATCTTGTCATCCGATACCACAGATGACGCAAGTTGTTGAATGCCAAAAAGCCTTTTTTTATCCGAGCTGAGATTTTGTCAACGACCGTCTTCTTTGAGCTGATCCAATTCCACCACTTCAATCTCTATCCTTAGAATAGATGAAGTAGTTGAAGACCAGTCCTGGAGCATCATCTTACTCAGATTTCTACTCAATGTGTTCAAAAGACCCCTACATTTTTTTCAGCGTTTTCATTTAGTAGGACAATATTCCAGTGTTGACGAACACACGTCTTTCATTTAAATACCCATTATTATTATTATTATTATTATTATTATTATTATTATTATTATTATTATTATTATTATTCAACGAGTATGATGTTATACGAACTTCTACTGTTTAGCTTACACGTCACTGTACCAACCTGTCTATTTTCTGAAAGACTAATTTCTTTTTGCGTAAACGTAATCTCAGTGTTTATCGAAGCGGTATATATATCAGTCTGTGACTATTTGCTTTATTTTCAGTTGCTACCGTCGAATTACCCAATTAATATATCATCAACACAAGGAAATAGACAACAACAACAACAACAACAGCAAATCAATGCCAATAATCTTATTATGCTGAATTTGGCATCATCAAATCATAATAACATGCCTAATAATGCTGGTAAATCCCTTACAGGTGTTCGTCACATAGATAATAGTTCTTTAAGAAATTCTAATAATGTTACAAGTACACCGATTCATTTCAATCCATCTTCATCGTCTAGTATGACATCATTAACTTCTAATATACCAACTGTAACATCAGCAATGTCTAATTCTGCATCATCTGTTGCTTTGGCTGCAGGTTTAGCACCATTTGCAGCTGATTTAAACTCATTAAATTATTTGACATCTGCAACTTTAGCGGCTGCCTTTCAACAACAACAACAGCAGCAACAACAACAACAATTGAATAAATTTATGTCAACAAGTAATGCACCTTCCTCCTCCACCTCATCATCATCATCATCATCACATCCACATGCAAGCCCTTCTGGTCCATCAAATAATTCTGGGCGTCGATTCTTTTAAATATGCATAGCAGTTGAAATTTGTTTGTTTGTTTGTTCGCTTGTTTCCCTAATGTGCATATTTATCATAGTCATTGTATCACTTATACTAATATTACTTATAATTCAATTGTAATATAAATATATACTAATGAAAATTTAGTTGATTATGTAATCGTGAAAAATGTAAAGTTATTTGTATTCCTCTACATACAACTAACTATTTACATTGTCAATTGTTGTGTAAAAAGTTATTCAAGATTATTGATCATAAAGTTTAGAAATTATATTACCCTGTGACGGTCGGTATGTAACTCAGATAAGGTGTAAATATACATAATGATATGATAGATTGAAGAGTCGAATAGAATTCACTTCTCCTACTTTGTGGAAATCAGATTCATTTGCTTCAGTACACTTGACTTTCATTCAATGAGTTCTTAGTTCTCAAGCGTATGATATCAACGTAGGTAACTGAATAGTATCATAAGCATACTCAGACAATAAATATGGTTCACCGGTAACCAGTTGAGTTGTATTATTACTATTTATTAATATACTTGTAATTCACCGTTGTTCCATTGGATCGAATTGTTCGACCTCTATTGGTATATGGGCTCTTATGCGGATACCTTGATATTGCTTGAATATTAACTACGGTTGATTGTAGTTAACAGGAGAATCTAGGACGTACGTTTCGTCCCACTCGGGACTCGTCAGCTAAATGTAACTGTACTCCAGTGCGGAATAATGTTGTCCCTACTAAGACTCAATACTCGTACCCATCGCCTAAAACGCTATTGTATTATCATTGTTATTGCATGTGCTGATAGGAAGCAATGAATTGCTTTCTACATCAGTGTGAACGTTAAAAGTGATATGTTGTTCACTGTTTCATAAGAAATATGATCCACAGTCTGTTAAAGGAGCTTGTAACTTGGTCATCGTATTTTTTCCACTACCTTATTTATTGTTCTCTATTCATCTGTTTTACCAAGGGGGGGGGGGGTCACTTTACAAATAATCTAATTCATAGTGTGTACAAATACTAAAGAATTAAGTTATTGTATTCATCCATCCGTCGTTTCAACTACAGGCAGCACAGACGAGGACGTCAAAGCTAGGAACGGAAAAGCAAGAAAGGCGTTCATTAACCTGAAACCAGTGTGGAGATCTTCTGAACTCAGCATGTGGAACAAGATCCGGATTTTCAACACCAACGTCAAGTCAGTGCTTCTATATGACGGTTTAGAGACTTGGAGCGTTAAGAAAGGCATTTTAAACAAACTACAGACATTTATCAACAGCTGACACCTACGCTGGCTCGTTACTGAAGCTCGGATGACCAGAATAATAAGAATAAGCAACAAAGAACTCTGGCTGGTGACTAACCGACCAAGAACCTATTGCCCAACAAATTTACAGAAGAAAGTGGAGATGGATTGAATCGGGCATGCACTGAGAAGACCATTCGGAGACATCACGCGCCAGGCCCTCGATGGGAAGTGACGAGTTGGGCATCGGTTGCGAGGATGACATGGAGGAGATGGTGTGAGTAAGAAATAAGAGCTTGTGCACTATCATGGAGCCAGGTTGAAAAGATTGCAGAGAACAGAATGTAATGGAGACGTGCTACTGAAACCCAATGTTCCACTAGGAACTCAAGGAACAGATAAATAATAATAATTCATCCATGGCGTGATATTAAACCTCACAAAATATTTGAGTGATTGAAAGTAAATCAAGTGCATAATTATGATAGTGATAATTTAATTGGTTGTAGCTAGCGGAGGAATACTGGACGTTCGTCTCGATCTATTTGGAACTTGTCAGCTGGATGTACCTGCACAGTGAGTGTTGTTCCCACTGAGACGCTAAAACATTACCTACTAGGCCATTCAGGCATGATAGCCACCTCTTTTGAAACGGGTATTAGTTGTTTCTATCTCTTGATATACTTGTATAGTGTGTGCTACTGATAAAAATCCATGTAAGTAGTATGTATTGAGAGGCCGAAATAAGTCATGGGTAGTAATTATTCTATCCAGCGAAGCGCAAAACGTAACGTGGCTGTATCAACAGCAAAATGAGGTAGGAGAGGAAGAGGAACTAAAACATTGTGCGAATTGATATTTCAATATTCCATCAGTAATGTATGAAGTGGCATAACAAACTGTTCGTCTATGATTCATCCTTTGCCATTCCCTACAATTGGTCTCACTGCTTCTGAGTGTAATGAGGATTCCGTAGCCTGCAGAGCTCAAACACACCAAAGTCTTCCTCAAGGATTTTGAGTCGGTTGCGGAGTTGGTGGGTGTCTGGGATCCAGGAGCGAAGGTGGTAGTGCTTGACACATTGCTGAGAGGTCGAGCAAAAGCAGCGTGGAACACGTGGATGGGAAGAAGAGTTGAACGACTGAATCGAACTGTTATATCAATTCAGTCGTCTATTTATAGATACTACATAATGAAAACACTTTATTCGATAGCGTTTCGTAGATTTTGGATAAAATAGGCAATATCTCTTCTTCAATGAAGATTTCCCCATAGAATATTTTGTTTCATCTTAAAGATAACTTTTTGTCTGTGCATAATGTACTTATTATCTATGCAAACCTTGTTTCAGGCTTCCTGTCGATTGCCTCAAACCAACTAATATCCATCAAAGTGGGCCGTGATGATGAGCCTCCTAGCTTAGTAGCCACATCACAAAATGATCGATAGAATTCCGTCAACACAGGATTTGACAAGGTGAAATTGGTTACTCCCCTGTAACTGGTCAATATATGTAATCTTGTCCCGCAGGAGGTTCATCGCAGCCCGAGTAGCTCAGTGGTAACGTCGCTAACTGTCTCACTGGATGACGCGGGTTTGAAACTCAAATCTTTTTTGGTTGCAGATACTCCTTTTTAACGAGTCCCGACAAGCGCGAAGCCTAGGTCCAGGGCTTTTTGCTGATTGCCTCGAACCAACTAACATATTAATTATCTGAGGTGACCGAGTGAAACACGCGAACGATACTAATCCAATGAGACACGTGGCCTGGATACGAGACACTATTCGACAAAAATACAGTGCAATTCTCGTGGACATATAAAACCACTAGTTTATTTTGATTGGCCAACTGTAGGAGGAAATCGTCCAATAAGGTGTTTCTTGACTACACAGCGACATAAAACAAAAACGGGAATGCAGGGGCTTTTACCCTAGCGGCTGATGACTTAAAATGTTGATTTTCATTTAACCCACCTCCTATCGTTATCTCTTTCCTAACTACTAATAAATAATGTACTAAAGAATAAACACCTGAATCGAACTTACTGGCATCCGGATGGACAAGAGCATAGTGCATAGCTATTCAGAGGTTTCTTGTAGTAATGCTGTCAATAAGTCATTTAGAACCTGGAGTTTTGAAGTCTTATATGAAGTCACAACCTTTAAAATAGTGAGTGAAGTAGTTTAGTTGATTCATCGGTAATGTCTGTTGTTAGGATGACACGAAACGTATGCCACTGCCATGAATCCATGTGGATTCACAGCAGTATTAAGCGACTAGTTATGCATACTTAAATCAGTCGGCTCGGTAGTAGGCTTTGTGAATACGAGTGGTGCATCAATACTCTGTAATAACAGTGATAGGTATATAATTTTCATTCATTTATTTAGAACGCAAACTTTTTACGTAATAGCCGCGAAGATGCACAATGTAAAGCAACATCAAAAGAACAGGAAAGAGGAGAGAGAATGGAAACAAAGATAGAGATGGGTTGTTGATGAAGATAAATTTGAAAAATCATTCACTATTTTCATTTTATTTTCAGTAAGAGAGGTGCATCATTATCGCCACTCGTTACGTTTCTGAGTCATGTCTCCTATCGTCTCAAGTCTCTGAGTTCTCTTGAATCCTACCAGAATGTCATGAAGCACCTACAGAGGCCAACTCAATACAAATACCCCCATCTCACAATGCCATATCATGCATTGGTTACGTCTCTGCTTCTTTCAACCAACCATAATACTAGTGAGCAGTTTAGGAGCCATTGGAACAATATATGCAACACATGTGCGAGCTACTGGAGTCGACGTTTCCAGACCAACGAAGTCAATGAATGACGATTTTTATCATAGCTAAACAAATGGCGAATCACCTAAGGATTATATATATGCGGTTTCTTATGCAGATAACGGTCGTCGAAAAAGCAGAGTAACCGAACATTCTCAGCTTAGAGAGGTCAGATTTCAATGATGCATAACAGAATTTCCCATACTAATACGTTATATACCTAAACTTTTGCAAACAGACTAATTGCGTGACGACTTCAAAGGTGATTCAGATTGGTATATCGCTCTGACCTCCAATATACAATTGAGAGTCTCATTAGTTGTACGTCCACCATCTATCCGTGTAAATGAACACTTCAACAACAGTTCACCACCAAGGGTGAGTGACCATACAGGCGTCTGACAGTCTTATGAAGGCACTTTGATGGTACTAAGTACATACCATGCCTACGACACATTGAGTGCAAACTGAGGATCTTGTATGTTATCAAGCCGTGAAACGATAACAATCACACACTTGAGATATAAAAGTCTTTTGTCCAGCAGTAAAGTTAATGAAGAATACCATACCTTGTCTATCCTGATTAATGGTTCGAAACAATACAGGTGTTAAAGTAGGACGTTTTCAAGCAGTGAACAAATTTCGTAGAGATACCCTTCTCCATTAGAGCATTCCAGAGTGTAACCCTGCCCAAGGAATCGGAGGCAGTTATAATGTCGAGAAATAAGTCGATAGTTGGCCTGCAATACGAATGGTAGTGTTCCAGTATCTGATGTAAGGTGGGAACGATTGATGCATCCACTATGCGAGTTTGGTGTTTCCGTAGCAGTAGAATACGGGGATATTTTTAAAGTGCTTCACCTAGCGTTCCAGTCATTTACAAAATTTTGTAATGGGCATACCATCTACTTCACAGACCGCCGCAGCGACCCTAAGCTTTTTGCCAGCGGTTACTTGAATAAGGTCAGACAACTTCGGAATATTCCCCATGTTAAGGGACAGTATATTGTGCTAAAGTTCACTCTTCCTTGTCATTTATATTGCTGTGGGGCATTGCTGTTGAAACAAGACGATATGAATAGATTGTGAGTTTTTTACTACAGATGGCTACCTCGATGTGCAATGTTAATGAGTAAAGTAAGATAGCATTGAAAGAAGGCTCAAAGTGGCCACTTCAAGACATGGCAGCCGTCTATAAAGTCTTGTAGGAAGATGCAAACTGCCTTCTTGGAGTCCTTGAGTTA